TCAAGGGCGCAGTTTTAAAAGCTCGCACCGGGCGCATAAAAGGCTAGTTACGGCACTGTGTAAGAGCCAATAAAAGTTATACAATAAAATCTTCTTTTATTGTCAAGGTCAAATAACTGACACGGGTTCATTACCGAGTTGAATCTAGAAATTAGTAATTACCCACAATAAAGGTTAAAATCGTGATAGATCATCCAATTCCAATATCATACGGTGTCATTAGTGTAATAATAAAAAGACTTAGTAAAACCGCGTTATAAGGAGCACGGCCTCGTCTGGACGTTAATAGGAGCCCCCAATGTCATGCAAATTGCTCTCGAGATTTGTTATTGCGGGTTAATGTAGATTTGCCACAAAGTCGATACGTCACGAAAAGTCTTAAGTCAATAGTTCAAAAATTAAGTGTGACGAATTTACACCGTGCTTTTATTCGTGACGAATCGAGTTTGTGGCAAATTGACAATAACCCTTCAGATCGCATCTATACAAAATGTATAGAGACTGACAATGTTATTCATACATTATGTGGGATGCGTTCACTTACTGACCGCATCCATCCATCCATCCTTTAAGATGGACAGGCCATGGAATGCAGTAGTGAAGAAGTCAGCTATATCTTATAATCCTATTCCTTGTGCCTTATATGGCCCATTATGTGTAGCAGTTGCATGCAAAAGACGCTCTTATTCTGCGGGCCATAGGATCGGTATCAAGGTCAACGTGTTTATGATAAGCTATTGTGTGCTTTTTGTTGATAACTGAGAATCAGTGAAACCATTAAGATATTCACTTGTGAAAACAATTAAACAGCTATTTTTAAAATATCTTAATTGCTGTCTTCGAAGTTTCAAAATGAATAACTCAAAACTGTGTCAAGAGCACATTTCAATAAAAACTTTGCAATAAAAACTGTTAAACGCTAATATTACTCGCCATAATGCTTTATGTGTAGCTCTGAGGTTGGTTCTATTATTAGCAATAAGGTTAGTAATCCTTTAGGCAATATAAAACAGAGTAGCATCAAATTTTATTGATATAGATCTCAATTCGTGCCACTAGGTCTCTGGCAGTAACGCTTATATCGGCCACCCTATTGACTGGCCTAATAAAGCCTAAATAAATACTTGATTATGCGCATTAGCATCGTACGTTAACCCGGTTTCCGCTGGGAATATTAATTGATTTACCGTCTTTGTTTATATGAGCCAATAAACTCTGATTTGTAAACAATGTTTTTTTTTTGCCTGCGTTTGATAGGACGTGTCTATCACAGCACAGACCATGTTTTTTTTTAATTTAGTACACTTAATTTTGCGGTCAACTAATTGAAAAACTCTTTATTGCAAACAACACAGAACTGACAATTAAAAAGTAATATTTTAAGTGGGAAATGGGACATTTAAAACGGTTATCTATGTCGTGGTTATGAAAAAAAATGGTAATGACATATTAAGTGATGTGGCCAAATAAGTTCTTGTCTTGTCACTGAACAACTGAGGTCACAACACTAGTGTCAGATTTAATGAGCTGTCTTAGGCCTTTATAACAATACAGTAAGTAACTTCATTCCGGCTTGCGTGTATTTTATTTATTATAATCATTATGTGTGTACTAAGTGGTAAGATAAAAAACAATTAAGTCGGTAAACAAAATAAATGCTTTTATGTTAACACTTTAATATGCTGCTTTGTTCTTGAAATTTCTGATAAAATATTTGCTTGACTACCTTCCGCATAAGATCATTGTCGTTAACGAACGTGATAACTTGATAATAATTTCCTTAATATCATATTTTTTATAAAAAGACAATAAGTTAATAAAAATAAATTATAAACATTAATTCTTGCTATTACAAAGTAAGAATATATTGTATTTTTTTTCAAAGTTGTAAAGTACATTATGTTATTTCTTTGAAGTAAGTAAATAAGTTTTTACTGTATGTCACGTGAGTATTTTACATTATTTATCTATATGTAAATTTTGGCCTTGTTGGCAAGAGAGTATGTTGTATGTAATAATAAACGTACATATTTAAATAAATTCACGTTGGCATAGTAATATTTTTTAAAAATATATTATTATGAAACTCCCATATCTCGATTTCTGTCCGAACGAGAAAGTTGCTCGATACTAAATCGATGTTTTCGCGATTCTATTGATCAATCTGTCCTTACATAAGTTCAATCGGATTGAATGAATACCGATCAGTAATAGATTAACTTAACTATCGAGTATCGATTACTTCTTAATATCTAATTGCCGATTACAAAATATAGTTTATATTCTCAAGTTATTTTTTTATAACGTACTATTTTTAGTTAGACAGTAAGATATGTGTCGCTTAATAAGGCTCACTTACACTATTGATGTAAAATAAAGAGTGAATTTCTAAAAGTTGGGACCTTATTAAGTATTTAAATAACGAGGTCTATCTAGAAAACGTTTTAGCGACAAAAGTGCCTTTGTTTTTAGACTAAAACAAGCTTAATGTTCTTGCCCAAAGNGAACTTTAGGAATAAAGTATTAAGGTTTAGATACTGTTGCGGATTTGCCGTAGAGAAATTCTGAAATTAGCAGATGTGTTTTTATTAGAAATGCGCGATGAAAGTTTAACAAATTGAGTTTATTTCCAGTTTTGTAGTCATTTATTCTATTTGTTTTGTTTGTACGTGATTAATCTCTCTACTTAACCTATTGCAACTTTATTGAGTGAAGAAACAACAAAGATTAACAGCTTGTCATTTAAAAATGCTATTAATTATAGTATAAAAGCTTTAACATATTATTCCAGTATGTAGAGTCACCTAATGTGTAGAAAACTGTAGATACCTGAGGAAGAGTCATAAAATTGTAATTTACATTAATTTTACTGCTTCAACAATAAATAAATTGAAAAACTAATTAAATAAAATGCACCTCGACAAAAATAACTTTCGATAACTAAATTATTATGAATAAAATAACACATAATTGCTTGTTTACTGCGGTCGGGTAAATAGTTTACTCAATGATATCGTATGTATGTATATCTTTGTGATGGCTGATGGTGAACTTATTCACTATGGTTGACGTGGTATTTGTGGAAGGTAGAGGTCGCTGGCAGTGAAATAGGGTTACATATTGTTTATTTATTTATTCATTGCTTATTGCACCGAAACTGTTGTCTTTCCGTCTTCTTATTATTTTGTGTATGGGATAAACCAAAGTAAAATATCTAAAAAAGATGACAATTCGTTCTGTCAATGAATGGGCGAGATATAATACCAGTATTTGCAATGTGCGCTACATGAAAAAACTAGGCTAAGCTAGTGCAATTGATTTTGTGAATGATATTTTCCATTATTCGAATGAGAATAATTTTCAACTAAAATCTTTCTTAAAATTAATTGGCAACCCATCACAGGTTTAGTTATTTGTTTTGATTTTACATTCTTTTTATTATTGAATTATTAAATTAAAAAATAAGTCAACTGTGTAATTGATAATGTGAAATATTTTATTAATTGACTTTTCAAACTCTACTTAGATGCTTTTTCCCTTCAATGACAGCTTGACTTTTTTTATAACTTTTTAGATAACGAGCTAGTTTCAGCTTAATGACGGTTAGGCCGCGCACCCACTAGGCAGCCCTAACGAGCCTTCGCCAAGGTTCCACCGCGGAAGCCGCGCGCTCGGCTAATCTCATCGAAGGCCGAACGCGACTGTTGTGATGGCTTTGGGGATATTTTTATGAAATATTCATTTTGATGGCTAAAAATAACTGATATCTCTAAATAAACGTTACAAGTTGTTGTATGCTGATTGCTGACGCGTAATAAGAAAAACATGAAATAATGAAATGCGGGTAGATCGCTAGTGGACAAAAACACGACAAAAAGAAAGGCACATAATATGGCTTTTCTTTTGAAAAGAGAGACCGAGCTAAAAGTCTACCTAAGCCGTGATACAATGTTTTCGCAAAGCATAGGGTGTATTTTAATGGCTAGGTTCATTGGAGGTTGAAAAATATTGACCAAATTCACTTCGATCAATATATTTTTCAACCTCCAAAACCGTGGTTAGGTACTTAAAATAATCCTGCATTTATTGATTAACTTTATACGATGTTTGTAAGACAAGTTCGTAAGGTGACCTGCCCAAGGGTACTGGCCAGTGTTTACTCGGCTCGAGAGGAGGCCTAGCTGCGTAGTTCGCAACTTAAAGGTGGCCACCCACTGGGATCAATCTTGTGTAACGTAACAAAGACAAAGATAGAACAAAATACATTGTTTTACGCTCGTCTCGAGAAGAGGCCTTAACTGCGTAGTTCGATTCACAAATTAAAGGTGATCACTCACCACTCATCTTGTGTAACAAAGACATGTACGTGTAAAAGTCGGTTATGAGCGAGGAATGAAATCGTAATGGAATATTTGTAGTTTCAAGTCTAATATTGTAGTAAAATAAAGATTTTTAAGGAATTTATCAGGTAAACAACTACAGACGGCTACGTACATTCTGGAAACAGGAATAACATGTAAATAACTTGAAAATGATTCACATATTATTGAAATATGGAGAAATAATCTGTTTTGTTTGGAAAAGCAATGACTCTTGAAAATATCATCGTAAATCTTAAAATATATCTTGTGGTTTCTAGAACATTCGTGTTGCTTTGAAATATACCTGCTTTTGAAGAATCACTACATAGTATTAAATTAAACAAAGTCACTTTCTGCTGTCTGTCCCTTAGATCTTTAAAACTACGCAACGGATTTTGATACAGTTTTTTTAAGGGATCAAGAGGAAGGTTTATATGTATACTTAGCACCCGTGCGAAGCCGGGGCGGGTCGCTAGTCAAGTATAAATGGTTAATAGGATGAATTTGTGGGTCTTATTATGCCACAATAAGTCTTAGTTCTATATTTATGTGCGTACTTTACTTGTCTTTATGAAGCCTTAACAATTTTCCATGCAATAACGGAACGTCTTATTAAACTTCCATCTCTCTTGTCCCCAGGCCGTAGACTGGTGGTCAGTGGGCGTCCTGACATACGAGCTGCTGACCGGAGCGTCTCCATTCACGGTGGAAGGCGAGAAGAACACGCAACAAGAGATCACCAAGCGCATCGTGCGGTGCAGCTACCCCATACCGACTGACGTCAGCACCGATGTGCAGGACTTTATCAAGAGGTCAGTTGAAGTAGGTGGACCGTAGATGGTGCTTTAGAATACTGGGTCTTCAAGGGAACTGATAATCCATCGCTTGCCTGGTTACTGCTCTGATCATTGAGACAAGGAGACGTTTGTATACCTGTTGAAGTCAAGGTAATTTGCGCTGTGTATGACAGTGGCTTTAAAGAAAGACCTATATTACGACGAATATAGATTTATATTGTACTACATGGAGTCTGCGTCCAGCGCTTCCCTGCTACCTTTACGATGTCGTCGGTCCACCTTGTAGGTGGACGTCCCACGCTGCGTTTTCCGGTACGCGGCCTCCATTCCAGAACCTTTCTGCCCCATCGGCCGTCAGTTCTGCGTACTATGTGCCCTGCCCATTGCCACTTCAGCTTGCTAATACAAGGCCAGGCGCAGGCCGCTACCAATCGATCAACATGGAAAGCATTGGGGGAGGCCTATGTTCAGCAGTGGACGTCCTGTGGCTGAAATGATGATGATGATGATGATGATGACATGGAGTCTATTTTCTATTGTGCTGATCGTAACGACTGAGATCACAACCAAAGCCTTCAGGAGACATCTATTTGACGGGTTTTAATCGGACTGACGACTAATCATGCCCTTCATATTTTTTTATTAAATGTAGATTGCTCATGCCCGTTTTCACCATCAATCCCTAATTTTTAAGTGACGCTTATGAAAACAAAATTCCTGTTTTGTGTTACCATAGGGAGTAATTTTAAAATTAGGGATTGATGGTGAAAACGGGCATCAGTCTACTTGCGATGTTCCAAGACACAGAAAAGAACATAGAATAACATTCCAAGTCCGTTTGTTCAGGGTCCTAAACTCCTAATGCCCTTCACTAAAGTTTCGACCGTGAAATATTACTCTTCATGTCCATTTCTAACAGAAGAAATTTTTATTTTCAGGCTCCTGGTGAAGGACCCTCGACGCCGGCTGGGCGGCGGCGATGACGACGCGGAGGAGCTCAAGAGGCACCCGTTTTTCCAGGTTAGATGGTCGTTCCGAGGNAACTCTACATAGATGCTTTTTCCCTTCAATGACAGCTTGACTTTTTTCACAACTTTTTAGATAACGAGCTAGTTTCAGCTTAATGACGGTTAGGCCGCGCACCCACTAGGCAGCCCTAACGAGCCTTCGCCAAGGTTCCACGCGGAAGCCGCGCGCTCGGCTAATCTCATCGAAGGCCGAACGCGACTGTTGTGATGGCTTTGGGGATATTTTTATGAAATATTCATTTTGATGGCTAAAAATAACTGATATCTCTAAATAAACGTTACAAGTTGTTGTATGCTGATTGCTGACGCGTAATAGGAAAAACATGAAATAATGAAATGCGGGTAGATCGCAAGTGGACAAAAAACACGACAGAAAGGCACATAATATGGCTTTTCCTTTGGAAAGAGAGATCCAGCTAAAAATCTATCTAAGCCGTAATACAATGTTTGCGCAAAGCATAGGGTGTATTATGTATAATGGCTAGGTTCATTGGAGGTTGAAAAATATTGACCAAATTCACTTCGATCAATATATTTTTCAACCTCCAAAACGGTGGTTACTTAAAATAATCCTGCATTTATTGATTAACTTTATACAATGTTTGTCAGACAAGTTCGTAAGGTGACCTGCCCAAGGGTACTGGCCAGTGTTTACTCGTCTCGAGAGGAGGCCTAACTGCGTAGTTCGCAAATTAAAGGTGGCCACCCACTGGGACCAATCTTGTGTAACGTAACAAAGACAAAGATAGAACAAAATACATTATTTAACGCTCGTTTCGGTTCGATTCACAAATTAAAGGTGATCACTCACCGGGATCAATCTTGTGTAACAAAGACATGTAACGTACAAAAGTCGGTTTTGAGCGAAATGACGTCGTGTTGTAATGGAATATTTGTAGTTTCAAGTATATTGTAGTTTTTAAACAACTATAGACGTCTACGTACATTCTGGAAACAGTAATGACATGGAAATAACTTGAAAATGATTCACATATTATTCAAAGGTGGAAATATAATCTGTTTTGTTTGGAAAAGCAATGGACTCTTGAAAATATCATCGTAAAATCTTAAAATATATCTTGTGGTTCATATAATATGTTTCTAGAACATTCGTGTTGGTTTCAAATATACCTACTTTTTGATGCATCACCATAGTATTAAACAAAGTCACTTTCTGTTGTCTGTCCCTTAGATCTTTAAAACTACGCAACGGATTTTGATACAGTTTTTTTTAATGGATAGAGTGATTCAAGAGGAACGTTTATATGTATACTTAGCACCCGCGCGAAGCCGGGGCGGGTCGCTAGTCAAGTATAAATGGAAAATAGGATGAATTTGTGGGCCTTATTATGCCACAATAAGCCTTAGTTCTATATTTATGTGCGTACGTTACTTGTCTTTATGAAGCCTTAACAATAGGAATGTTTCCTGGGTCAAAAAGCAAGAGTTTTAATTAGTCAGTCAGTTAACTTATCAAAAAATACTCTACACGTATTTTTCACTTTTTCAAACTAATGAAAATTTAAAGAGATAAAGCGCGCCAAAGTTCATAAGAAGAAGCCCGTGACGTCAATGAGTGCATAAAAGTGCCGCACTTTTTTGACGTCGCGCGGAACTTCAACGCACCATAACTATGAAATTATTTGTTAGATTGACAAATAAAAATATTTATGTGTCCAATATTTTTTGATATTAAACATGACGGACTATAAAAATTTTTTTTAGGTAACTAGCCTATGCATTAACCGGAACGTCTTATTAAACCTCCATCTCTCTTGTCCCCAGGCCGTAGACTGGTGGTCAGTGGGCGTCCTGACATACGAGCTGCTGACCGGAGCGTCTCCGTTCACGGTGGAAGGCGAGAAGAACACGCAGCAAGAGATCACCAAGCGCATCGTGCGGTGCAGCTACCCCATACCAACTGACGTCAGCACCGATGTGCAGGACTTTATCAAGAGGTGAGTGAACAAGTAACATGGGACGTGGACGTGGACCGACGACATCGCAAACGTAGCAGGAAGGCGCTGGACGCAGGCCGCTACCAACTGGGCAACATGGAAAGCATTGGGGGATATGTTCAGCAGTGGACGTCCTATGGCTAAGATGATGATGGTGATGAACAAGAAACTGGAAGATTTGCTTTTAAAATAGGCCTTTGGTGAGGCTTCAGGGCCACTACTGACGATTTTTCGCTCACCAGACTACTGCTCTGGTCACTGATTGAAGTCAAGAAGAGTATCTAAAGCTATTCTGTGGCTCTATCTGTACTAAGAAAGGTCAGTCAGTCATCGTTCTGTAGGACATAGATGTTTAGCTGCACCAGTTTACTGGTCTACCATATTAAGTCTATCTTCTATCCTGTTGGTGATGACAAGTGAGGTCAAAATCCTGGTGTTAGACTTCGAGACACGCCTAATTGACGTGTCTCTATCGGACTCCCCATTCACGGTGGAAGGCGAGAAGAACACGCAGCAAGAGATCACCAAGCGCATCGTGCGGTGCAGCTACCCCATACCGACTGACGTCAGCACCGATGTGCAGGACTTTATCAAGAGGTGAGTTGAAGAAGGTGGACCGTAGATGGTACTTTAGGATACGGGGTCTTCAAGAGAACTGATAATCCATCGCTTGCCTGGTTACTGCTCTGATCATTGAGACAAGGAGACGTTTGTATACCTGTCGAAGCCAAGGTAATTTGCGCAGTGTATGACAGTGGCTTTAAAAAAAGCTTGCTCAGCATCAGCATTGCGGCAGCTGTACCGAATATAGATCTATATTGTACTAAATCGAGTCTATTTTCTATTGTGCTGATCGTAACGACTAAGTTCACAACCAAAGCCTTCAGGAGACATCTATTTGACGGGTTTTAATCGGACTGACGACTAATCATGCCCTTCATATTTTTTTATTAAATGTAGATTGATCAGTCTACCCAAGACAAAGAAAAGGACATAGAAAAAATTCTAAGTCGTTTGTCCAGGGCTGCTCGAATGTCCTTCACTGCTTCCACTACTACTACTACTAGTTCCACTTGGAAATACTACTTTTTCATGTCCATTTCTAAGAGAATATTCTTCTATTTCCAGGCTCCTGGTGAAGGACCCTCGACGCCGGCTGGGCGGCGGCGATGACGACGCGGAGGAGCTCAAGAGGCACCCGTTTTTCCAGGTTAGATGGTCGTTCCGAGGTTAGTTGATGGCGGCTTTGAAAATAATTTATTATTAACTGTGCTAATATACAATAGAAGATAGGTAGCTTGCTTAATCCATTATACATATATGCGATAAAGATGCTCTCAGTCTCGTCCAATAAAATATTTCCTGAGTTAATCAAAATTCTCCACCAGGATCAAAATTTAATGGCAGAAAAGAATGGAGCGCTAAATCTTTATTAGTTGGACACCAATCTTACTTTCAGAATAAAAAGGGTGCAGATATGCATATTCCCAGAGCAGCTTTTGTTTCCATCTGGGTCATGATACTTCTCCAGATTTCGTCAGCTTTTAAAGCGTAATAGTATTGTGAAAAAATATACGGGCTTATTACAAAGTTAACGCCTTTTGAACACTTTTCAACTAGTCATTTGGTATGGGAATGACATTTTAAACGTGTTTTTAACTTTTTTGTAATAAGGCCCATAGTGCATCTTCATCATTTTAATCCCAGTCTTTTGAATACAAATATTTCTAATCACCAACTCCGTCATCCACAGAACCTAGACTGGGAGGCGGTGGCCCGTCGTGAAGTGCCCGCGCCATTCGTGCCTCAGCTATCGCACGCAGCGGACACCTGTAACTTTGCGGATGAGTTCACGCGTATGCCGCCTACAGACTCACCAGCCCAGGCGCCTAAACACCACGACAAGCTGTTCCTTGGTAAGTTTACTCGATAAAAGGCTAGACTAATAAGCCTTGAACTGCAGTTCAGACGTCGAAACACCATTAGTTCATGACAAACTGTTCCCTGGAGATTTCGCGACATCCGCTGCTGGATATAAGCCTTCAAGGATTCCCACAGCGACCGGTCCTGAGCTTCCCTCAAAATGGTGCTCCCGTGACCTTCAGCGGATGGTCAGGCTACCATCGGTCCATGGTCCATAAAATAAATGGTTATCACTTGAGAACTTTTCTGACCCAACGATCACCAGTCCTACGAGATGTGCCCCGTAGACGTCGAAATATCATGACAGACTATTCCTTAGTTAAAGTGACCATAACATGTCTCATATTTCAAAAAGCAAGGTATTAGACCAGTGATGATCTACAGAGCCAAAACGGTGGCCTGGTCGACGAGGTTTTTCATTTCAAGAACAAAGTTAAAAGTTCTCATCAAGATACACCATGTATTTTGGAAGCCATGGCAAGTCAGATTTTTAGGTCAGACAGTTTGACTTAGTTCCTTCAAAGGGACTTCCAGGGTGGATGTGGGTACGACTATGTTGGAAGTTATTCATCTTCTACCTGCTACATCTACATACAAACAATTTCTTCAAATAAGTTGTCTTTTGTTGCAGGATACTCGTACGTGGCGCCCAGTATACTGTTCTCCGAGAACATCATATCGGACCAAATCTGGATGCAGGCCACGGGACAGAAGCACGACAAACTTAAGGGATGGGTCGCCAAGGTATGTACTACTGCCAGTAACTATAGAATATCTTAATTGGGAAATATTTCTGATACCTTCTAAAACATGCAGGAGAGCCATTGGAAGAGAGATCCGTTGCCTTTAACTTAATTATTTACCTCTTATATGGAACTAGCTGACCCGGCGAACTTTGTTCCGCCTTAATGGCAATAAATAAGCAGACTTTTTTTTTAATTTCGAACGGGATAAAAAGTATCCTATGTCCTTCTCCTGGCTCTAAACTATCTCTCTGACAATTTTCAGCTAAATCGGTTCAGCCGTTCTTGAGTTATAAGCGAAGTAACTAACACGACTTTCTTTTATATATATAGATTACAACGAATACCTTTCATTCATTTATAACTTTGCAACAGAGGAAATTCAATTTTATATTTTCGAAATCTTTCTTTAATCTTCTAAATTCTTTACGTGCGGGTTCCAAAGCTTCCTTAACCTTCACTGATTGAATTTCAATAGAGTATTAGGACAAACTGTAGATTCTGGTTATACAGGACTTGCAGTGGTGGGAAAGAGAGGTGGTATTACATCTTTACTCAATTTAAAGCGACAATAGCAGGACGGTGAAGTTGTCAGACGTGTGATCCGCGGAACGCGGGTTCGATCCCCGCCACCGATCGACTATTTTGGTGAACATTCGTAACACAAGCATATATACCACGAGGGGTTAACGAGGTTATTATAATTTAAAGAAAAACCTGTTAAATATTTTTATCTTTTCTCCCGCAGGATTCGCCGTTCTTCCAAAAGTACGCGGTTGATCTCAGCACGCCACTGCTAGGCGATGGCTCATACTCGGTGTGCAGAAAGTGCATTCACAGGCAGACTGGCAAGGAGTATGCCGTTAAAGTGAGTATACAGGGTGTTTGTGTTCAACCTATTTTTTTTTTCTTAATTTCCTTTACTTAGCCTGAAGGTTAACTGGCAGAGAACGCCTTTATGGCATGAATTTGGCCTTATGTACCATTTATATGGCATACTGCTGTAAGAATGGGACTTTTTCAGTGTTCTATCTCCCGTTTTGTAACGGAATCAAGTCGGTATTCTATTTCGAATTCCTTCTGATTAAATTCGCTGTCGGTTCCTAAACAGTAAGCTATCCCCTGGGCTTATTTAACCTTCACTGGGACAGGGAGTCATTCGAGACCTAACTGTAGAGAGGCTATACAGGACTTAAAGTGATGTGAAAGAGAGGTGGGATTAGTCCCGAACCAGTGATATCATATCACTACATAAAACAAATATACTTAGATCTTTAAAACAGCGGTTTTTTTAAATAGATAGAGTGATTCAATAGGAACGTTTATTATATGTACTTAGCACCCGCGTGAAGCCGGGGCGGGTCGCTAGCTCCCATATAAATATGTGTTTCAATTGTCTCTAAAAATAAATTTTTATTTGTTGCAGATAATCTCAACACAGAAAAAAGATATTAGGCAAGAAATTGAACTGCTCAAGGCGTGTCAAGGGTGTCCCTACATAATCACCCTGCACGAAGTTTTCCACGACTCGGTGAGTAATTGATGGTAGATATATCCATTACTTAACGAACATACGTTACGGGTTGTTTTGGTATTGATGTAATTATAAATATGTGGCCTAACGAGTCTTTTTTGTTCCGCTAATGTTTTTAATTTTTATGTAATCAAAAAATGTGAGCCATTAGCGTCAGCAAATTTTATCTTTTCTATGGCAATACTAAACGTAAATAACTGCAAGTATTGTAATTGAAGTTACCGGACTACTTACAAATGTTATAAACAGCGATTCAAAAGCTGCATATGACCACAAAAATTTAAACCATAGGTGTCAGCTATAGAAACAGTCATTGAGAAGTTCTGTGGGATCATAAAAAATTTGAGCCATAATCGTCAGCAAATTCAGCACAGCGTTTACGAGCTTACAGTTGTGCGAGATATGTTGTTTGGTATGATTCATGTGTGTGCATTATTTTTACATGTTTGTTTCTTCCACAGGCCTTCAGCTACATAGTAACAGAGTTAGCGCGTGGCGGCGAGCTGGCGTCCCAACTGACCGGAGCACTAGACGAGCGCCTGGCACGACGTGCATTGGCTCAACTCGCACGCGCCGTGCGACATATGCACTCGCGCCGCGTCGTGCACCGCGACCTTAAGCCCGAGGTGAGTGCAAGCGTCAGCGTCCGCTGTAGCTGACAGTGGGCAGACTGAGCCATCGACGTCAGCTACATAGTGACGGAGCTGGCGTCCCAACTGACCGGAGCACTAGACGAGCGTCTGGCACGACGTGCATTGGCTCAGCTCGCACGCGCCGTGCGACATATGCACTCGCGCCGCGTCGTGCACCGCGACCTTAAGCCCGAGGTGAGTGCAAGCGTCAGCTTCTACTGTAGCTGACAGTGGGCAGACTGAGCCATCGACGTCAGCTACATAGTGACGGAGCTAGCGTCCCAACTGACCGGAGCACTAGACGAGCGTCTGGCACGACGTGCATTGGCTCAGCTCGCACGCGCCGTGCGTCATATGCACTCGCGCCGCGTCGTGCACCGCGACCTTAAGCCCGAGGTGAGTGCAAGCGTCAGCTTCTACTGTAGCTCTCAGTGGGCAGACTGAGCCATCGACGTCAGCTACATAGTGACGGAGCTAGCGTCCCAACTGACCGGAGCACTAGACGAGCGTCTGGCGAGACGTGCATTGGCTCAGCTAGCGCGCGCCGTGCGACATATGCACTCGCGCCGCGTCGTGCACCGCGACCTTAAGCCCGAGGTGAGTGCAAGCGTCAGCAATAGTACACAGTCATTGAGCCGTGAGAGCAAGCGTCAGCGTCCACTGTAGCTGCCAGTGGGCAGACTGAGCCATCGGCGTCAGCTACATAGTGACGGAGCTAGCGTCCCAACTGACCGGAGCACTAGACGAGCGTCTGGCACGACGTGCATAGGCTCAGCTCGCACGCGCCGTGCGACATATGCACTCGCGCCGCGTCGTGCACCGCGACCTTAAGCCCGAGGTGAGTGCAAGCGTCAGCTTCTACTGTAGCTGACAGTGGGCAGACTGAGCCATCGACGTCAGCTACATAGTGACGGAGCTAGCGTCCCAACTGACCGGAGCACTAGACGAGCGTCTGGCACGACGTGCATTGGCTCAGCTCGCACGCGCCGTGCGACATATGCACTCGCGCCGCGTCGTGCACCGCGACCTTAAGCCCGAGGTGAGTGCAAGCGTCAGCTTCTACTGTAGCTGACAGTGGGCAGACTGAGCCATCGACGTCAGCTACATAGTGACGGAGCTAGCGTCCCAACTGACCGGAGCACTAGACGAGCGTCTGGCACGACGTGCATTGGCTCAACTCGCACGCGCCGTGCGACATATGCACTCGCGCCGCGTCGTGCACCGCGACCTCAAGCCCGAGGTGAGTGCAAGCGTCAGCTTCTACTGTAGCTGACAGTGGGCAGACTGAGCCATCGACGTCAGCTACATAGTGACGGAGCTAGCGTCCCAACTGACCGGAGCACTAGACGAGCGTCTGGCACGACGTGCATTGGCTCAACTCGCACGCGCCGTGCGACATATGCACTCGCGCCGCGTCGTGCACCGCGACCTCAAGCCCGAGGTGAGTGCAAGCGTCAGCTTCTACTGTAGCTGACAGTGGGCAGACTGAGCCATCGACGTCAGCTACATAGTGACGGAGCTAGCGTCCCAACTGACCGGAGCACTAGACGAGCGTCTGGCACGACGTGCATTGGCTCAACTCGCACGCGCCGTGCGACATATGCACTCGCGCCGCGTCGTGCACCGCGACCTCAAGCCCGAGGTGAGTGCAAGCGTCAGCTTCTACTGTAGCTGACAGTGGGCAGACTGAGCCATCGACGTCAGCTACATAGTGACGGAGCTAGCGTCCCAACTGACCGGAGCACTAGACGAGCGTCTGGCACGACGTGCATTGGCTCAACTCGCACGCGCCGTGCGACATATGCACTCGCGCCGCGTCGTGCACCGCGACCTCAAGCCCGAGGTGAGTGCAAGCGTCAGCTTCTACTGTAGCTGACAGTGGGCAGACTGAGCCATCGACGTCAGCTACATAGTGACGGAGCTAGCGTCCCAACTGACCGGAGCACTAGACGAGCGTCTGGCACGACGTGCATTGGCTCAACTCGCACGCGCCGTGCGACATATGCACTCGCGCCGCGTCGTGCACCGCGACCTCAAGCCCGAGGTGAGTGCAAGCGTCAGCTTCTACTGTAGCTGACAGTGGGCAGACTGAGCCATCGACGTCAGCTACATAGTGACGGAGCTGGCGTCCCAACTGACCGGAGCACTAGACGAGCGTCTGGCACGACGTGCATTGGCTCAACTCGCACGCGCCGTGCGACATATGCACTCGCGCCGCGTCGTGCACCGCGACCTTAAGCCCGAGGTGAGTGCAAGCGTCAGCTTCTACTGTAGCTGACAGTGGGCAGACTGAGCCATCGACGTCAGCTACATAGTGACGGAGCTAGCGTCGCAACTGACCGGAGCACTAGACGAGCGACTGGCGCGACGTGCATTGGCTCAACTCGCACGCGCCGTGCGACATATGCACTCGCGCCGCGTCGTGCACCGCGACCTCAAGCCCGAGGTGAGTGCAAGCGTCAGCTTCTACTGTAGCTGACAGTGGGCAGACTGAGCCATCGACGTCAGCTACATAGTGACGGAGCTATAGTTCCAAAATACTGAACTGTCCTATGCATGACATTGACAGTGGGGCGCCACCGTCAATACCGGATCGCTGGTTCCGATTTTTGCCATGTTGGAAACCATATAGTTGAACGATGGTAGCGCCCCCCTGTCATTGAGTTTGGTGGGACAGTTCAGCGTGGGTCATCTATAGCGTCCCAACTGACCGGAGCACTAGACGAGCGCCTGGCGAGACGTGCATTGGCTCAGCTAGCGCGCGCCGTGCGACATATGCACTCGCGCCGCGTCGTGCACCGCGACCTCAAGCCCGAGGTGAGTGCAAGCGTCAGCGTCTACTGTAGCTGACAGTGGGCAGACTGAGCCATCGGCGTCAGCTACATAGTGACGGAGCTAGCGCGCGGCGGCGAGCTAGCGTCCCAACTGATGACTTATTGTTAGCTACATAGTCACGCAGCTGACGGTGGTGAGCCATTATTGTCAGCTACACAGCGGATGCAGCTGCAGTGAGTGTAGTGTAGTGTAGATACAGAGCTATTATTGTTAGCTACATTGCCACGCAGCTGATGGCGGTGAGCCATTATTGTCAGCTACATAATGATGCAGCTGAGGACCTGCGGCGTTGAGCCATTATTGTCAGTTACATAGTGAGGCAGCTCAAGACAGTGAGCCATTTTCGTCAGCAATTTATAATACGCTACAATTCAATGCTGCCAATCTCAAAAGTGATACCTACCTCAAGTTACTACAAAAATTGAGCTATGACAACAAACGTTTTGAATACAGATTTTTCTCGTACAATACTAATGTCTAATCTAATGCAATGATATATTTCCAGAACATTCTCCTGACGAGCTCGCGTCTCAGTGAGGCTAAGGTGAAGGTGGTGGACTTCGGCTTCGCGCGCCGCGCGCCCGAGTGCGACGAGAGGCAGCGCATGATGACGCCTTGCTTCAGGTAATTTATACAATAACCATTGATATTTGCTACTAATATACAGGGTGTTAGGTAAATGGGTATATGAGCCGACACTAGCCCATGTTAACATGGGCATATAAATGGTATGGCGAAGTCAGAAATTTGATATCATCATTTTATTTTTTTTAATTTTCATACAAAATAAATTTTATAAAATCCGATTTGTATGAAAATTTAAATAATTAAAATGAAGATATCAATTTTCTGACTTCATACCATTTATATGCCTATGCCAACATGGGCTAGTGTCGGCTCATATACCCATTTACCTAACACCCTGTATAACATTGGTATGTTTATGAAAAAATATACTCTTAACCGGTTCCGGCAAAATGGAATAGAACTCCCTCTTCTTCCCGTGGAAACATTAGGGGGCGTAGTGCGAATTTACATCAAACGTCATCGCTAGCGACTGCGTAAAAAAATGACATGAAATGTATGACAGATTGTACAGCGTCCGTAGCGGATACTTTCCAGAACTAAATCTTCATAGATTTTTTGACACACTCGATATCGAATACGTTTGATGTAAACTCACACTATGCCCCCGGGTCCCTCCAACCCATCTGGCAGAGGGGAATAGATATAATAGTAGACCAAATACCTTATTTTTCAATGAGAAATTGGCAATGAGAGCTATCGTTTTAGCGCTCACAAGTTGGTGCCACTGTAAAGTAAGATCATAGTGGCGACAACTGGTGAGCGCTAAAGCGGTAGGAGGACTATCGCATTTGCACTCACAGCTTTGTTATAAAAACGATATCCCTTATTATTCTGGTGTTGCATTGACCACCAACACATGATCAGAAAAACCGTTCATCTCCCCTCAATATAAAGTCCTAGAACAATGTTCTTATGTTGGTAGGATTGAGAGATATACTTACTTTTGATGATATTGTGAGTTTAAAAATTGCTTATCATCTGACGTTATACTTGCAATTCCCCGAAATAGTAGTTTTTTTATGCATAATTAGGCAGGTATTTGACCACAACGGTGTAAATGGGATCCAGTCTAAGATGGTACATATCTGCCCTGTAAGTGCCTATTCACTAGCGCCTTGAAAAGGCCCGGATTATCTTCGGGACTAGCAGTAATGGACTGTTTACAAATTCTTATTTAATTTATATTTATTTACCTTTTGTCCCACAGCTTACCGTACGCGGCGCCAGAGGTGGTGTCTCGCGCGCGGAGCTCGACCGCGCCGGGCTACGGGCCCGCCGTCGACCTGTGGAGTCTGGGCGTCATCTTCGTGAGTATTTGTCNCGTGCACCGCGACCTCAAGCCCGAGGTGAGTGTAGCTGACAGTGGGCAGACTGAGCCATTGACGTCAGCTAAATAGTGACGGAGCTAGCGTCGCAGCTGACTGGTGCGCAACTGTAGGTAAAGAGTCTTCTCTAACGGTTTTCTACAGGCTACACTTCGGAGAATGTGCGAAGGAATTATATAACCTAATTCCACCAGCCCCTTTCCATCACCGGGGAACCAGACGCAGGCTAGCGTACCATCCCTACATTGTCGACATTCCACCAGCTCGCACTAAGCGTTTCGACGATTCGTTTATAATGCGTACAGCTAGGGACTGGAATTCGTTGCCTGCTGCTGTATTTCCTGAACACTATAATCCGGGCGTTTTCAAGGCGAGAGTGAATAGGCACTTACAGGGCAGATATGTACCATCCTAGACTGCATCTCACTTAACACCAGGTGCGATTGCGGTCAAATACCTGCCTTGGCTGACATAAAAAAAAAAAAGTCATTATGGTTAGCTACATAGTCACGCAGCTGACGGTGGTAAGCCATTATTGTAAGCTATTTAGCGGATGCAGCTGACAGCGCCGCGGTGTTGAGCCATTATTGTCAGCAAATAGCTGATCAGTCATGCAGTTGACAGTGGTGAGCCATTATAGCTATCAGCTACATATTGCTGCAGCTTACGAAGTTGAGCCAATCTCGCCAGCGATATGGTGACGCAGCTGACGATGGAGAGCCATTATCGTCAGCTACATAATGACACAATTAGTGACAGGGTTCGAGGATATATATCAAGGGATATTATATCAAGCCGGTTTTAATGATATTCAACTTTAAAAATTTGTTACTGTATTTGTACTTTTTGACATAAGATTTTTATTTTTTTAGTTGATTTTGCCGGATTTAAAAGAAATTTTATGTTTTTGCTTTATTTGTTTGATTTTAAGTTTTAAAAACATTAAAAACATGTTTATATAACACTTTTGCAATAGTATTCATGAATAATACAATAAAATAATAGTATGGCTTTCATACAAAATTGATATATATCTGATATATATCATAAATATCCGATATTTTGATATTTATAATAAATATCGGATATTTTCGAACCCTGGTTAGTGATCAAACTGACAACGGTGAACTTTTTTCATCGGATACTTAAAGACGCAAATGAAGACAGTGAGCCTTTATCTTCAGCTATAAAATGATACAGCTGAGCACAGTAAGCCATTACCGTCAGCTACAGTCACGTAGCAAAAAAAAAATGCTAGAATGCTGCCAATCTCAAAAGTTATACTTACATCGAGGTATTACAACAATTTACCTATGACAACAACAAACATAATTTGAAAATTATAAATAACTTGAAAATATCGAACTGCCTAAGGTGGGTTAGGCAGTTCGATATTTTCAAGTTATTTATAATTTTCAAATTTGTTTGAGATGCGACTCTTAACGCTAAAAATTTAATAACTATGTAAAAGAGCTGTTTCATCTTAACTGACAGTTAAATATTTGCAATAATATTTCTGTTAGATGTAGGGTAGGTATACTTAACATTGATGAAGCAAACGCTGGCCGTAACAGCGTATTACACTTGAAAATTTCGACGGGTTCATCCAGTGTCTAAGTAGCTCAGTTGGAAGAGCAGTCGCCCGGCAAGCGGAAGGTCGTGGGTTCAATTCCCACCTTAGGCAGTTCGATATTTTCAAGTTATTTATAATTTTCAAATTAGTTTGAGATGCGACTCTTAACGCTAAAAATTAAATAACTAAACAACAAACATGTTTTAAAGACAGATTATTTTAGTTTACACATCTAATGTCATTGTCCGTTTCCAGAACATTCTCCTGACGAGTTCGCGTCTCAGTGAGGCTAAAGTGAAGGTGGTGGACTTCGGCTTCGCGCGTCGCGCGCCCGAGTGCGACGAGAGGCAGCGTATGATGACCCCATGTTTCAGGTAAGATCATCATCATGATCAAAGTCACTTAGTAGCCTCCACTGCTCCTGCAGTGAACATAAGCACATTTTAACATGTAACACCGATGTTAAGGTCCTAACGACTATTAGTAAAATAAAAATAGCGGACTGTATTAAAATAGGTGCTGTAACTCTCGCCAGCCTAATTTACAAGCAAATATATCCCCCCCCTCGATATTTACCTCGGTCTTTTTGTATGCAGTTTGACAAACTTTTGACGTTTGATATAGTTAAAATAAGACGATGCAATCCAGGGTTTAATTGAAAGAATCTTAGAACAATTTTATTGTAATAAATAATTGTTAGTCTCTCATATCGAGTCCTACCAAACCAAGTTATCACATATTTTTATCACTCACTGAAATTCTGTAGGTTCTCACAACAGGGCGCGTAAATTACTAGAGAAAACTTTGCTTGCTTTTGCTACCTAGGGGGAATGTGACGTTGGTTTGCTTATGTAATAAAAATAACCCCCAAAATAGTATTGTAGGTACTGATTGGAAATTGTTATTTCATATTTATTTAGCTATTTTCTTACACAGCTTACCGTACGCGGCGCCAGAGGTGGTGTCTCGCGCGCGGAGCTCGACCGCGCCGGGCTACGGGCCCGCCGTCGACCTGTGGAGTCTGGGCGTCATCTTCGTGAGTATTTGTTGATATTGACTCATATCTATGCCCTGAAAATCAATGCCCATTTAAAGTACTATCGGCAACAGTGTTAACTGCCCATTGCGTTTAGTCGGCCGTTTGGTGTAGTGGTTCGAAACGGACTACTATTCCGGAGGTAGCGGGTTCGATTCCCGCACAGTACAAACATTTGTGTGCATGAACATATTTGTTTGTATTGGACTGGGTGTTTTCTATGTATAATAAGTATGCATTTACAAAAAAAAAATATTTAAGTATGTTTATATCCGTTGTCTAGTACCCATAGTACAAGCTTTGCTTAGTTTGGGACTAGAAGCGCAGTGTAAAATGTCCAAGGATATTTATTTATTATTTATTGCCGGTCATGTCGTATCGTTCTATCGCAAAGAATCACCATTTGATGAGAGCGGAACGTACGGAAACGGATCCAACGGAAATGGATAGCTAATATGTGTGCTGTGGCCGTGTGTACCATAATCAAAAAGGGCTATAATAAAAGCCGACGATTATTTGAAAGATAAAATGTTTGGGATGTTATTTTCAAGACTGTAAACTCTTAAAAAAGAGGCTGACATAGTGACTCAGTTTCATCAGCACTGGCTTATTTATTGTCTCGAAACAGTGGTAGGGTTAATACTGGGACGTTTAAATCTGCTTTTCAAAAGCTTACGTGCAAAAATAAAATAAGTTTTGAGTTTTTCATGAGATGGGACATGCAATAAATAGACTAATGGCTCCATAAGAGTCGTAGAGATATTTCCAACCATCCCTCGACAGCATTCCCCCAAATAAGGGGAATTTTCGTATCATCTTCCCCTGATTGATTGATGTAGATGGAAAGAACAAAATGAATTTTCCTCCTAAATATTATTTAACTATTTTTTGCATCTTAAAATGTGACTAACAACGAAAGTTATAAAAAATTTTGGTCACCAATAAAACCCTGGTTGGATTTCATCCCTTTTCGTTGTGCACTTTGCAAAAAGAGCACCGTAAAATGCTCACTTTTCTACTCTTATTTTAAAGGCTAAGAGAAAACGTTTATGTATTTGTATAATATTAGTAGGTATAAAAAAGTCTGCGTCAAATCCTCGTGAGTTAGGTTTATTAGACCGCCAGTTATAATAACATAATATTCCCCTTAGTACTGCATGCTGTGCGGCAAGGCGCCGTTCCAGCCGGGCTGCAAGAAGGAGCCCGTCACCGTCTTCATGGACCGCATCCGCAGCGGCAGCTTCTCTATGGAAGGTGAGATCACCTGTATTCACTGTGTTATAGGTACTATCGCCAACAGTGTTAACTGCCCATTGAAAGTCATGTCATCTCGTTCTATCGCAAAGAATCGCCATTTGATTAGAGCGAGAGCAAAAACGGAAATGGATAGTTAACAGTGTGGGCGTGTGTAGTTGTACAGCCAGGCCTGTTCGTCTCCGCGAGTTTACGTCGAAAACAAAACAAGCACGATGGCCCACCTACAGGATTACTATTCGACAAGGCCTCACATACGAGCGAGCATTGACTCACGCACGCGTATTCTTGTGTATGATGGAAAAAAATAAAGAAAATGGTGTACTAACTGTGCAGTATTTAACTGCCTAAATAATAATAAAAACACAGAATGTACTTTTTTAAGTTGTCTAAAGACACTGAGAGGTAAATAAGTGGTTAATATTATTCATGATAATTCATGCTTAATCATGTATTTCCTCCGCCATTTTCCGCAATTTGGCACCTCACGTCACATCATTTTACCGAAGTCAGCCCTATAGCTTCGGCGCAGTGCCGATCACTGACGTTTGTCAACAAAATGGTGCTTGACTCTTGAGACAAGCTAATTACACCATATTGTTATTGAGCATACATTTTTTTAAACACCTTCGCGAAGTAAACCTTCTGTACGTAGTACTTATTGTTATCCTGTGGTACAGCGCTGAAAGTTAACTGAGTCAGTGCCTAAGGTATAAAGCCCGGTCCGTGAGCACGTAGAATTTTGTCCAATAACCCCTAGCTACCCATCCTTATCGCTCGCGCGTAATTATGTTGCTATCGCGCTCGCACACTCACTGCGGGCGCGCGTCGCACAGTCGCGACAGCAATATAATTACGCGCGAGCGATAAGGATGGGTAGCTAGGGGTCATTGGACAAAATTCTACGTGCTCAGAGACCAGACTATAGATCGTTTCATCCACGAAGACAGGCCCCACTAATTTTTGGTCGAGGAGCGCGGGGTGCTTTGATCCGAGCAATCCGAGCGTCATTATTGTAGTGTGCGTGTGCACTCATGGATCATTAAGTGCATTAACGGAAGAATGGTGGGGCGCGTCTTCGTGGATGAAACGATCTATACCACATCACGGGTATTTTTTATCCCACGGTGGGTCTAAAAATCTTTCCGAAAAGAGTCGCCGCGATATTGAGCCGTGTTCGTGGAAGCACAAATGATTTGAATTTGAATATACCATTGTATGTACCATTATATGTACCAGTAACGCGTCCTCTCACAGCGCCATGCATATAGAATCTGCCGAGACTTTAACAAGCTCACACCCGATATAGAGGAGGTGCCTGACATCTACAGCCTTACCCTAAACAAATTCAAAAAAGCTGTTAATGAATTGTTACTTAAATAATTCCTCTCTCATCTTTATTTCTTAGAGAATTATTGATTTAAATTTCATTATATTTATTAATAACTTATTTCCATTATTAATTAACATTAAATAATTATTTTTCTATTTATAATTTATGTATTATGTATATTGTTAACTCGAATTGTATGTTGTGTGCACTTGTTATTGGAGCTGCAACAAGTTTTACTGTATAACCTGCTTTAAAAGCTTTGTATGTTATGGTTGTATCCCTGTTTTGTGCACCAAATAAAATAAATAAATAAATAATAATGTATGTTTTCCGCCAGGCCCGCACTGGGAGCACGTGTCGCCGGACAGCAAGCGCCTGGTGTCCGAGCTTCTGTCCGTGGAGCCGGCGCGCCGCCCCAGCGCTGCCGAGCTGCTGCAAGCGCTGGGACACGCTGACGAAGCTAGCTTCCAGCTCGCTGTGAGTATACAGACATCATCATCATCAACATTTCAGCCACAGGACGTCCACCATTGAACATAGGCCTCTCAAATGATTTCCAGCATGCAGCGATATCTACAGCTTACTGCCATCCCCGGTCTAGAAGTCACGGGTATTTTTCATCTAGAAGTTACGGCTATCTTCCATCTAGAAGTACTAGAAGTCACGGCTATCTTCCATCTAGAAGTAATGACCATCTCCCATCTAGAAGTCATGACTATTTCCCATCTAGAAATCATTACCATTTTCCATATAGACGTTATGACCATCCCCATCTAGAAACCATGACTACCTTGTATCTGAAAATCATGAACATCTCCATCTAGAAGTCTTGACCATCTTGTATCTGGACTCGAAGTTATGACCATCTCCATCTAGAAGTCATAACTATCTCCCTTCTAGAAGTCATGATCATCTCCCATCTAGAAGTCACAACCACGCAACCATCACCCATTTTTAATCCGTCACTACCCCCTATTTAATATTCACCTTTCTTCAAAACTCATAAACCATCCCCTATCTTTGAGGTCCACTGCTAAATCAGCATCCACATACTACATAAAATATCGCCCATTTAGCAGCCTCATATTATAATGTCCTCTTTATTAGTTTCTATACAATGTTTTAATCAAAATATCTTCTTCCCCAGGACATGACCAAAGCGGATCTGTACAAGCGTCGCAGCAAGAACAAGCGGCCGCCCAGCACTGAGACGTCCGAAGAGTTACTCCACACTCTCGGTCAAATACGTTCTCATGCTAGTTCCATCGACCGCGACCTCGAGCTCATCAAGGCTCACACCCTCCCTACGCCCGCCGACGAACCGCCAGAACCTACCTTCAACGACGACGACATACCCTCAGTCAAACCAGTCGAGAAAACCTACGCGAAGTCCCGCTCCAAACTCGACGACTATATCTATATCGAATCCAGCCAGGGTTTAGACGAAACAGAAGTCGCGTTCCCGAAATCAACTCGCACCAAAAAGAGCAAAGAACGACAGTCCCCACCTAGGAAACGCAGAAAAATCGACGTCAGAGACGCGAAGAGAAATCAACTCAATATCAATGGCGATAGAGAACTTCGCAGCAAAACTGAGGAGAAGGTAGAACAACGCGTGTTGAGAAGCAAGAGCGCTAGTGAAAAAGAAAAAGACAAGAAGAGGCCCACTAAGGAATCAATAGAGAACGAAAAGACGGTCTCTCGTGTCACCCGCAAACGGAAGTACGAAGAGACCACCAAACCGGTTCTCAGAGAGAAGGGTCAAAACGGGCATTCCTCCAGGAAAAATAGCGTCGAACCCGAAGCGTCTACTAGGAAAATCGCTCGGGCGAAGAAAACAAAAGCACCCGTGCCCCAACTGAAACTGGACTTAGAACAAAACGTACGAATGACTCGCTCCCGACGGAGACGTCTCGAGATCAGTCTGTCTCCCTCTCAAGTGAAGAGCGTCGCACCTGCTTTCTCTTTCGAGTCCGACCGACGAGTGAACTCCGTCGAGAGCTCCCGGTCCGCTAAAGTCAACACCAAGAAGGCCCCGGCCCGTAAAACCAAAACCAAAGCTAAAAAAACACCCGTACGATCCACCCGCACCCGCGCCACTAGAAGGTGAAAAAATTAAACCAATCACGTTTCAAATCACGCCATCCGTTAACCTGAACGCGATAGTAGACTGTTTCTTCTAGTTTAAAATTCCAATATGGCGTCGTAACCTCAAATTCCAAATAACGAGACAGTGATGCAATAATGGACGCTTTGCTCACGATTAGAATAGCGAAATGAATAAAGATGATTATTTATTCGACAGAGTAAGTTTTATTGTGTAACGCGCGATCTAGCTCGCGTCTCGCGATAGACATGTTTTTATTTTTTAATCCTTTTATTTAATGTTACTATTAATTTTTAAGACACTTTTTCCCTTATTAATTACCATTAGAGTTAATTCTTTGACGTTGGTTATTATGTATTTTGAATAGATAGATAAATAGGCTAATAGAACCGGTGTGTCTGTCCACTCCATCTTTAGTCGTTGAAATTGATGTTAGAGCGAACACTTACAAACATCCTTCGGCCGTCGTCCGCTAGATGGCGCTCCTTAGGTGTCTGTCAAATGCACAAAAATTTTGAAAGTACCCTCGTGAACATTAACCATTATGTGTGTCGCTTAACTTCAAACTCGGATAAATCCACTTTACCCTGTTCGGAGATATTTAATAAAAAGTGTTTATAGGCTTATTTTCATGAATTAAANACGTCATCTTGTGAGCAAACGGACGACGCCCAACCAAATAGTTTTAATTGCAAAAGTTTTTCAACTGGAAACAACATTTTCCAGTTCAAAAACTAGGTCCATATTTTACAGATCTCTTTCAATAAATATGAATTTAGGTTGTTTGTGTGTGTATATTTGTTTGAAGTATAGCATAATAGGTTAAATTTGTAAATGTTTTGAATTAAAATAATGTAATATGGCAATGTTTACCTTCCACATAATTGCAAAAATAAAAAATATAAAAAAATCTTTATGAATGGTGAAAGTGCCAAAGCATGCTTGAATTTTATTGTTAAAATAGTATTGTAAAATCGATTATTAAATCTATCGGTTTCTTGATAACTTCCTAAATACTTTTTTCTAATCGTAATTACTTTTGCTGTAAGCGCTTTTACCAAATTTTGTTTTGATTGATATTTTTTCCATGTAAATAAAAATGTAATAGCATTTAGTACAAAATCGGTGGAAGAATTATTTATTATTATATTGAAGAAAATCTCAATTTTGAAACGTTCGGAGTGAGGAGACTTGGCACGGGCGTGTAGTTTCAACGCATGTTGTTGTTTTCATTCAAAGTTTAGGAATTGATGATTATAAAGGTGATTTTAGTGTACAATTAATCAAATACACTCGAAGAACCCAAAAAAAAAAACACCCAAAACAAAATAACGTGTTGACAAATCTTTACTGAAAAAATCGCCTTGAAGTAATGTACCTTGATTTAAAGGGCTAGCAATACAGTGTAACTAGTTAAAAATGTTTTTTCATATTTATATCGTCATAGTTTGATGTCTCATGTAATATAGATTGTTTTTAACTTAATAAATTCTATGATTAAATCGACATGTTCAATGTCGATATCGTAACAGCTCTCAGTCATGATTTTGGCAGTTTGTCACTATCTAGTCTTAAGTCTATAGCCCAATTAATTGTTGAATTTGTCATCAGATACAAAAATATTGATGCACCAATATCCATCAATATTGTTACAATGTAATCAGTTGTTATGGCATTATTTTGAGTTTCAGGTAGAAACAACAGACTGCGAAATGTTCCCAAATAGATATAAGACCTGTTTCAATTTGTTAAACATTATTGGGTTCAATTGTTTGGCAAAATATATAAAAATGTAATAAGTTTTTAAAGACGGAAATCAATTAAATTTATATGTGTAAGGTAGGAGGAAATTCTTCTGTTATGCCCGCAGATGTAATAGTAATAATTATATTTTGTATTCGTTACATGCAATGAGTATCTAACACCAACAGAGCGTTCGATTGTCGTGCGTATCTTTCGTTTGATGTAAGATTATCGCGGTGGTTGCTGCATGAGCGCTTTAGTTCAATATCAGTTCAATAGAATAGTGTGTGATGGCGGTGTCGCGTGTTGCCTCCCGCTCGCACTCCAACGAAGCAGAAGCAATCGTGAGAGGGACGCAACACTCGCCTCGCCGCGTGCCGAGGCGGACTCGCGTCCTTACATCGGAGATTGAGAATCTCCACGCTTCGCATAGTCTCACGTGCTACGTGATAAAGTTTGTAAAAGTGCACTTAAATGGATTGTACCAAAAGATTATATAATTTTATAATAAAGTGTTAGAGGTTTATGCGTCGGCGTTCAACAAATTTTGTAAGTTCAAGGCGCCGGCCGGAGATATTGGATTGTAATAAATATACCATTTTAACATTACATGCTTGTGTTATTATTTTTACAAAGATATCATATTTCGATTTTCCCTTAATAAATACACTTTACTATACACAACCATACACCACCACATCAAACAGTAATATACAGGATAAAAAAGGAAATAATAAGAAAATGAAAAAAAAGAGACAGCCACAAAATGTAACAAACTACACTGTAGAATACTGCGATTGCTAGCTAGATACAGTTCTCTCATAACCACGTTTTTTTGAGTAGTCTGGTTAAAAATTAGCTTAAGATGTTGTTTCAGAATGTCGGTCATCTCCATACCAAACTTCATCAAAATCTGTCCAGCCGTTCTCGATTCTTAAATGGTGTATACCACGACTTTGTGTATTTAGATACTAGCGAGTAGCGGCTCGCTCATTTTAAAATTATTTCGGTTAGGTATATTCTTAGATTAATAAAGCGGTATATTGAATAAAAAGTAACTGAATTTTATTCATCATCATCATCGTCATCGTCAATAATGAAGTAGGCAGGCATCACACTAAGGCAAGGTCGCAGGATGCTTTTGGGTGATGGGTGATTCGGTGCAGGAACGGTCGTTGTGGGAAACAAGTGGGAATCTGTTGTCCTAAAAAAAATTACGCGTATTTTTTTTATGTATTTCCTAAAATATGAATTTTTAGCGTAATCACAGCTGGAATCAGTAAGCTGTATAGTAATTTGTATCTTTGCCTTTTACTTCACCAAAGTAATACATGATCTTTGTCTATGGCATGACCAGATGGACCAGCCATAGACATTTAGTCACAGATAAGGATAGATGCAGCATGTGTCAAAAATTGTATGAAGCCGAGCGTGCCACTTTTTAAACGTCATTAGTGTCATTTTAGCGAATTTTAGTGATTGCCGCAACGTAATAGTAATCGTATCATCGTACTGCATTTGCAAAGTCATCGAATGATATCGTGTGACTCGATTCGAAAATTAATTAATTCCGATAAAACTGATAATTTGTTAAATACAAAACCAAAAACGTCTTTATTTACCCTTTTAAAATAAATTAATTCTTACGAATCGTCAAATCTCGTTATTTTTTTTACCCTACCAGCGTTTCAAGACATAAAGGACAATGACCAAAAGTGGTCCAAATGTCCACCACCAATGAGACCTATATTGGCTTATAGTCCATTAAATAGAGATTAACTTTCAGTATGGGACGAAAAAAAAATAAGCTGTCAGTAAAAAGTTATGACTGTTTAAAAAGTTGTAGTAGTTTACGTGCTAATCTCAGGAACTAGGTCCGATGTGAAAAATTCTTTTTGTTATAGATAATCAAGGATGGGTTTAGAATAAATAACATCACCCTACAACCAATAGGGGCGGAACAGTAAAGACAAATGTTGTAAAAATGGGAAATATTATTCAAACAATTTTCACGCGTACAAAGTCGTAGGCACAGCTAGTATAATATTTAATAAAATTCATCTATAACCCCGCGCCACATGCGACATTACATAACATGCGTAGAATAGTCCAAAATGTGCAATGGATAGAATGATAATCAAGAACATTTTTCGGATGAAAAGGTAAAAAACAGACTTTTCATTCAGTCATAACTTTTTACTGACAGCATATTTTTGATTGCGGTTTGGCTATAATGAATCAGTATTTAGAAGACTATTTTACTACATAGGTCTCGTTAGTGGTGGACATTTGGACCACACTCCATACATTTTTGGTCATTGTCCTTTGTCAAGTGCATGAATACATGCATCAGTGTGTGTCTTATTGTTATCNAAAGATATGATATTTCGATTTACCCTTAAATACACTTTACTATACACAACCATACACCACCACATCAAACAGTAATAACATAAACAGGATAAGAAAGAAATAATTAAGAAAAAGAAAAAAGAGAGACAAAATGTATTTTTTTAACAACATTGTAGAATACTGCAGACCCAGTTATACAGTTCTCTGCTTTCCCTTTTTGAGTAGTCTGGTTAAAAATTAGCTTAGATGTTGTTTCAGAATGTCAGTCATCTCCATACCAAACTTCATTAAAATCTGTCCAGCCGTTTTTGAATCTTAATAATGGTATAACCATAGAATAATAATAAGTATAACTACCTACCACCACCACTGTTTTAATAGATACTAGCGGCTCGCCCATTTTAAGATTATTTCGGTTAGGTATATTGAATAAAAAATAACTGAACTTTAATCATCATCATCATCTTCATCTTCAATAATGAAGTAGGTAAGGCAAGGACGCGGGAAGCCGTGCGGGAAGCTTCTGTGTGAGTCGCTGCAGAAACTGTCGTTGTGGGAATCTGTTTTCCTAGAGAAAAAAATACGCGTAATTTTTTTGTATTTCCCAAATTATGAATTTTTAGCGTAATCACAGCTGTAATCAGTAAGCTGTATAGTAATTTGTATCTTTGGCTTTTACTTCACCAAAGTAATACATGATCTTTGTCTATGGCATGACCAGATGGACCAGCCATAGACATTTAGTGATACCACTTTTGGGTACAAAAATAAAAATAGTACATTTTATGAGCACTATCAGAATTAAAATTAAGTAAGTTCATTTTTATAAAAAATTGAAATAATTTAGCCAGAGTCTAGTACTTATTCCTCTTTTATCTGTTGGATTGAAATTGCGGGTTAATAACTGACTAGGTAATCAAATGAATCGTTTAGATTTAATCATTTTTGAGAGATTATATTATTATTTTATTATTCTATTTTGTTATTCACAGGTGATTTTATTTATTATTGATAATTATTTAAAGTTGCGTTTCTTTCTATACTCAAAATTTTGCTTATTTTATATTAATCTAGTCCAGTAAGATTGATAAAAGTGCACGTTATAATTACAGTGTTTTACCAAGTCTTATTTGAATTTTCGTATTGTTTCATAATAAAACTAAATTATAAAATAATATTATGTCTGTCAACTTGAAATTGGGAACTCCGTCAGTTTATAAATAACTCGTGAGATTGTAAATTGTAAACTAACAGTAGGTCTTGTTAGGTTAGATGTTATGTTAGTTACATGTTTGTAATCTAACTACGTCAAATTATAATCTAACGGAATTCACATTTTTACGGTGACATATCCATTAATTTGTTGAAATACTACACATTTAGTACAACTAAACTCTAGTTAATGGCAACACCAAAAATGGCACTGTGGCAGACGTCAGGCGGGGAGATGTCGAGTCTTGTCTTGTGTTGAAAAAATAATTAATTTGTCGACGTTATGTGTTAATAATTATGTGAATAATGAGATGAAAGTGTAAATAAATGTTAGATTAGTGTTCGCTAGTGATTATGGCGCATAGTGGTGGTGTTTTGAGTTCAGATATATCGCGTAGAAACCCTCAAGATGAGTATGAACTCATTCAGAGAATCGGATCTGGGACCTATGGCGATGTGTACAAGGTAGGAGGCCTTTCTAGAGCTTATTTTTTCTCTCATTATTAGGTAGTTAATACCGCGCGACGATGAATCACTCTCTCGCGTGAGTGGCACAGGTTTCTTGGTCCATTGAGTTGTGTTAATACAATGTCAGTTTCTACTGTCGCAGTTGAATATTTGTAATAAAATCAGATTTGGTGTTATCGTTATTCGCTTGAGATATATTTTCGATAAAGTACACGTGTGTGCAGCGGCCTTGATCGTGTGGTTGTGTCGATTTCAAATTGGCTACACCCATCCCAGCTGCATCCACCTTATTGCTTTGTCTTATAAAAATTATCATCAATTTATACTTCTCTCTGCATTAAAACTGTTTAAAGTGTTTATAAACACATTCTTATGAACCAAAATTCATTATATTATTTCATTATATTATATTATTGTTAATTTTTTTTTAACCAAAATGTAATAAAATCCAAAACACTTCACAACTATTTCAAATTTCTGCCACTTTGTATTCATTAATTCAACAAAGTTAAAGTTTTAAATTGAAAATGTAAATATTTCAATTGGCAATTGATGTAATGCAATGAATATGTATGAGTATGCAAGAGCTAGTCAATTAACTGTAATAGTAAAGATTGTTACACAGCATGCTAAGTAATGAATTTAAGGCTCTATTGGTAATTTTAACTACATATTCACTTTCACTAATTTCTAGAGATGCACCGAATGTTCGGTTGAATATTCGTATTCGGTACATTCGGCATATTTTTTTCATGTTCGTATTCGGCCGAATGTTCGGTTGAATTGCCGAATAATTACCGAATATTAAAAGCATTGTTAACAATTAAAAAAATAATATTTAACTAAACAGTTTGGTTAACTAATTACTAAATAAGTGTGGTTTATAGCGAAAGTATTTTATAGTTTTTGAAAATGAACCAGACACTACTTGTACCAATTATTTATTGTGAAATAAAAAGATAAATTTAATTTTTATGAAATTTAAAAATTTAAGGACACTGCCAAAACTGATTTGAGTAACAAACAACTATTTTCAGAAAATTTTTTTTAGAATAGTTGTAATGTAATAACTACTATCTTAAGGAACCAACACAAGTATTCAAATATGTTTATAAAATCAAATAAGTTTTTTTAAATAAATATCTATCTAGGAATGTAGGTATGCTAGTGAATGGTGAACTAGGAATTGTTATAACTATTTGTAGTTTTAATTCAATGTAAGTCGAATAAAATTCTTTAAAATCAACAATAAACAAATTATATCACCCGTTCACAAATGAAATTAAAAAACAAATTTATAGAAACTTTAAGAGTCAACATTAGTTGGTAATTTAAGTTTTAATCAAATTTGAACCGAATGATTCGGCCGAATATTCGGTTCGGTACATTTTGAACTGAATATTCGGCCGAACATTCGTATTCGGTTTAATCTACATTCGGTGCATCTCTACTAATTTCTGTTTTATATTGTTTGTGGAACTTCCTGATAAACATATCAGCTGTTAACTTACTTTTTATCAATATTGTTGAATTAATTTTTGCATTTCTCTATCCTTTTCTATATTTTATATTGGGGAAGTCACTCTGTGGGTCGTAGTATCCAAAATGTGGCCATAAACCACGCAAGATGAAGAAACCAGACTTATTTAAGCAATTTCTCCTGCCTAGAATTTTTATAATATTCTATGTAAATTGAATATTGTGGTTCTTCTAGTTCTCAATAATGTACAGTTTGCTTAGATACACTATAATCTCTAATTTATTTTACTTGATCTGACCATTGTTGTTGTAGGTACCTACTAAAGTAGATGATAATACAAAAAAATATTTTTTATCATTGTTTGTTTACATTTCATAAAATAATTTACCATTGAAATATTAACAATGAAACCAAAATGGTGTAACATTAACCTGTCATTGTGGTTACGTTAGCCGTTAAAATGAAGAAACCCACCGTGATTATGACTCACACTGAATCATCAAATTGTCTTCTAACATTTAGCTGTTGGTTTCCCCTTGATGATTGTATTTGAAACGTTAGAAAATGGAGGTAAATGTGTAATACAGAAGCTTTAAATTTTAAATTTGGTTAGGAAATGAAACTGAACTCTGTTGAATACCTAATATTAGTATTACAATTAATTAACTCTACGATATAAAGGTTAAATTGATGATAGTGTGATATCTGGACGTAATAATAGGATTCTGATATTTCTGGTAATTCCTTAATTGATAAAAAAAACTTACAATTAACAAATAAAAAGTTACAATTAAAATTACATTAACAAACAACTGCTTCAGGTGAGACTTGAATTCAGTACTTAGTTTGAGCTCTGCTTCGAAATAAAAATCATTTTTTTAAAGATAATCCTCTGTATGTTTAACTAAACTCAAAAAGGTAATTTATTGTTTTAAACTTTCATGGTCACTAACAAAATGATTATTACTGACGGGATTGCAACAGTGCCGAAATATCGGTCGGAATATTAAAATTAAGGTAGGTAGGTACATAGTAGCAATCAAGTAGGTACTATGTTGTATTTGAAGTTGTAATACCCAGATAAAAATATTGACAATAATATCTGGCGTCAGATGAGCATGAGTACACAATCCAGTAATCATTCGTTCCCACTATCACACCTATTGTTTAGCCCCAAAACTAAGCCGAGCTTGTACATAATAACAGTAACTAGATAATGCATAGTTATTAAAATTTCTAGCGTCAAGACATTGTCCCAAATTTCCCTGCATCATTGTCTATTTTTGTTAATTATCAGTTAAATGGGCCATGATAGTGTTGCTCGAATGTTGGGTACTTCCTCTAACATGGACAATGGGCGCAGGCGCATTGTTTCAACCGTGAGTGCTTGCGTTATGTCATCAAGGTCGGTTCGGTTTTGTGTTAATCCAAGTGATGAAGATTGCATGACTTTTTAATGGTCTCGTTGATAACAAAGGATGGACATGTGGATATTTTCTTTTACTGGGTAAGACGTAGTTTTTTTATAACTTTATCTGTATGTTACTTTAACAGTAATGTTAGTTAAGTACCAATATTGCCAAAAATGAAAATTTTAAGTGGGCTTAATTTTGAGTAAGGTAATTTGCAATTTTGCGAATATTTTATTAATTTTTCGCCTATATTAAAAGTAATATAGTTTCAGAAAGAAGAATATTGTACTATAATAGTAATTTTATTGACCCAATTACTTTTTTCTTTATAAATATGCAATGCTAATAAAAAAGTTCCAACATTTGTTTTTACTTAGAGACAGTATCAGAATGAAATCTAAAATAAGTACATACCTAGTTCATCCAAAACCGTGGTTTTCCATTAAAGTAGTGTTCTTCGCCTATAAAATTCCTAGTTTCAAATTAACAAGTTGCAATTAGAGTACGATTTGCAGCCCATTTAATGTTCGGTTTGTTTTTGTTCTACCCGATCGCTATCGTCACCTTGTGTCACCGGGCCGTAACGATATAGTGTTTTAGAGGAAACACTAGTTATAAAATAACACTGATTGCGATATTAATGATAAAAATGAAAAGATAACTCAGCCTATGCAGTAAACAGGTTTTCTTAAGTTTTTTACTTTATAGTCAAGCGTCTAAAGCAGTAAATTTTGCTATCTCTACAGAAATACAGTGTGAGTCACGTTAAAGTGTACATATGAAAATAGATGAAACTAGACCTATTTTTATCGACAAAAAAGAGGTCAAAAAATTTTTGAGATTTTTTTAAAATTTTTTATAGAATTTTTTTTCTTCCAATTACTTATTGTAAAGAAAACGTAATAACTTTTAAACTAAGCGGTATATCCTGATAAAATAAAAACAGTAATAATGCTAAATAACAGGCAATACTAAAACAATACAAAAAATACACAAAAAATGCCAACAAATAATAAAAAATGATGCTTTTTGAAAAAAATTGCTTAAAAATTCGTATTTTTTTGGTTATTTGATAAATTTCTCCAAAAAATGCCCCTATAACAGATGGTTTTTATTACTTTTTATTATTCTCTATTGTATTACTTTTGTAAAACTAAAAATCACATGTCTCTATCCCTATCACAACATTTGCTATGATCGTTTGAACAAAGGCCTGCCACCACATTTTTCTCCGCTACAGGTAGAGACAATTTTAATTTTAACTCAAATGCTTATTTTACTTCGAAATCTTTTGTTTTTATTTAAAATCTAACTTGTCTCTATCAAAATTACAAATCTAGAGTCACTTTCAGTTCCGTTGTTAACGAAGCGTTGAATGGCGCGCCCGGAGAGGCTTAGTTCAAACGATCATTGCAAACGTTGTGATAGGGATAGAGACATGCAATTTTTGGTTTTACAAAAGTAATACGATAGAGAATAATAAAAAGTAATAAAAACTACCTGTTATAGGGGCATTTTTTGGAGAAATTTATCAAATAACCAAAAAAATACGAATTTTTAAGCAGATTTTTTTCAAAAAGTATCATTTTTTATTATTTGTTGGCATTTTCTAGGTATTTCATGTATTTTTTTAGTTCGTTCGTTCGTTCGTTTCAGCCAAATGACGTCCACTGCTGGACAAAGGCCTCCCCCAAGGTTTTCCACAATGAACGGTCCTGCGCTGCCCGCATCCAGGCTCTTCCCGCGACCTTTACCAGATCGTCAGTCCACCTAGTAGGAGGCCTGCCCACGCTACGTTTTCCAGCCCGTGGTCGCCACTCGAGAACTTTCCTGCCCCAACGGCCATCGTCTCTACGAGCTATGTGCCCCGCCCACTGCCACTTGATTTTAGCAATTCTGCGAGCTATGTCGGTTACTTTGGTTCTCCTACGGATCTCCTCATTTCTGATNTGCTTCTTCGTCGACAAGATGAAGTCTATCTCATTTTTTGTAGCGCCATTGGGATGCAGCCATGTCCACTTTCGCTGTTTTGGCTTTCTGAAGAAGGAGTTCATCATAAAGAGGCCCTCCCTCTCCATAAAGCCAGCCAGCAGTTGGCCACGTGC